GTGTATTACTGCAGTGAAACGGCTAATTTTCTCTACTCCCTACTCCCACCCATCCAACCTCTGAATCGCCTCGCCGTACCCTCTAATCACTAATCCCACTCAACCCCTGAATGCGACCCTCCCCTTCCCAAAACCAACCACAAATGCGACCCCCTCGTTCGAATAGTGCGAACGCACGGTTGACTCCTGATTTGGGGTCGAGCTATCTTCTAGCGCCTTTGTCGCGCACCTTCAGCGCAGTAGTGCAACCAACACTCGTTCGCCTGCCTACTACGCTCGGGGATGGAACAGGTGAGCATGCCTAATCCCGGAGCGTGCCTTTGAGCTAGCAGGTTTGCAAACTGCAGAAGCCACACCCACGATTAGCTGAGGAAAATGTTGCGAATGAAAAGGAGCAGGGCCGTAGAAGGTGCGACACAAGGCGTTGTTGTGAAAGAGGATGCCCATGAGATGACGTTATTAGTTGGTGAATGCTAGTCGGTCCGCCTTGTTGCTGGTCGGTCTGCCCATCGCTACGGTATCATTCATCTGTCTTCGCTCCCACTATGCTCTCTCGCATCCGTCTGTCGTCACTAACTCTTACCATGTCTCCTCTACTGCATATGACAATAACCTCGAATTCGGCGCTTTCAACGATTTCGCGGAATTGTCACACCGAATTGGTCGTGAGGCCAACGTTTAACGACGACACCAGATTAGATCGTTGACTTTTGCCCATTACACCGAGTACTGTTCATTACAGAATCTTTCGCCGCGACTTTCATGTGAAGCTTTTTTGAGTAAGTACACACAATAAAAAAGGTGCACTCACTTTTGGTGCACCGACGGCTTCTGCAAACAAGGAGTTCCTCTTATCAATTGCCCATTCGAGGTGGGAAATCTCAATGCGATCTGCCTCTTCTGTGGTCACTTTGAAGTCGACGTCTTTGAGGAGATCAACGAGCTCGGCTAGAACGAATCCCTGAAACTGAGAGAGAAAGTGCAAATTATAACACAGCGCCAATGCTGCACCACGGAAGTGCGCTATCTATCATACATGAGGCATAAATATAAATACGGGACAAATATTGTGAAAGTAATCGTGGCCCAGTTTGAAACAGAAACGTGGAAACGGAATATCAAGTACAGCAATATATGATCATATCCTTCTGAACAATTGTTAGCATTTCTTATTCAAACTGGCCGCCCATGAACTTGCCAATTTTCTTTGAACGTACCCTACAGAAATTGGGCCAT